GCCCACTAGAGGACAGCATAATTGTACATGTAACGTTGCAACAATTGTCCCCGATTAAGGTCAAGGTTTGTACTCTAAACTCCTCTATTTTACATACTAACACAAGAATCACTATATAATCTTATACTTTAAACACTAAAGAACATATGGCTGTACTCACAATTGTCAGTAATGCACGGTAAGGGCAAATTTGGAAGTATTCTGATTGGAAATGTGCTTGGTAAACCTGATTTTAGAACTGAATGTATGGTGCGAGAATGAGCCAACTACTGAGGGCGCCCTACTGACTATTGCGCAGTCAGTCGACAGTGAGAGACTTTCTTAAAGCCGCCCCCACATTTGGGTACTAAATGTGAAACCAAGAAAGTCTTAAGTTAGTGTTCAGTTTGTGGATGGTCCTCAGACGGGCAGTTGTCCTCGTCCTTGCATTCTGGCAGACGGATCAGGCCGGCGACTGGTCTGGTGTACACTTTGTCACGGACTCGGACCTTGGCCGCTCTCACGTCCATCAGTTCCAGGATGTGTCTCACATATCTTCCCTACTGGCCAATGAGCTCTAACCAACTGGGGGTCGATGACCATGGCGACGTCTCCACAGGCCAGGTCTCTGGATTCAGTCTGCCACTTTTGCCGACTCTGTAGACTGGGAAGGTAGGATTTGATGAAGTGAGCCCAGAACTGGTCAGCGAGCACCTGACTATGGTGCCATCGTCGTCGTCCCATGGATTCTTTGGAGGTGTAGACGACCTGTGGAAGGTTAGGATCAAGCCGCCCCCATCAGAAGCATGTTTGGGGTCATCGGATCAACGTCAGCAGCATCTGAAGAGACGTAACCCAAGGGTTTTGAGTTGAGAATCCCCACGACTTCAGCTAAGACGGTTCGGAGTACTGGTTCTGTGACCGACTGGTCTCCCAAAGCAGCTCTGAGTCTAGCCATGACCGACTTCACCTCTCTCTCCTAGGAGCCGCCGAAGTGGAGAGCATTTGGCGAGTTAAGCTGGAATCGCACCTTTTGTTTGGAAAGCTGTTGGCTTAGATCTGGAGCCATGGAAGCAAAGGCACTTCGGAGTTCTGCTTCTGCACCCTTGAAGTTGGTTCTGCAGTCAGACAGGATTTCATATGGTTTACCCCTTAAGGAGGTGAAACGGTGAAATGCCATCAGGATGCATCTGTGTCTAAGCTCTCCAGCAAATCCAAGTGTATGGCATGTGTGGTCATGTATGACTCCCCATCTCTTCTCTGTGTGTCGACCAATCTTAACCGTCATTGGCCCAAAGCAATCAACGCCCATTGAGAAGAAGGCTGGCTGGAAGAGACGGACACTGGAAGGGGGCAGGTCTGCCATCTTGGGAGCTGCTGGTTTACCGCGCCACTTGCAGCAATTATTGCACTGGCGCTGGTGCTGACTAATTGCCTCTCGGCCTCACAGAATCCAGAATTTCCACCGTATTTCGGCAAAAACACGTTCAGCTCCAGGATGAAGGAGTCGCTGATCATAGTCTTGGATAAGAAGCTTGGTGATATGATGCTTCGGGTCAAGAATGATTGGGTGCTTAACTTCGTGCGGGAGTTCCTCTGCCTGTCGCAATCGGCTCCCACTCTGATCAGTCCAGAGGTCAGGGCTGAGCTAATCTGCTCCCAGAAGGCAACTACTTGTTCTGCATCAGAGCATGGACTTCCTGTGGGAAGCAGTCTACTTGTACCAGAAACAAAAGTTTGGTCTCGATGGCTTCTTCCCTCTCGACCAGTGTTGAAGGAGATATGTCAGCAGTTGCCGCTGCGTCATGAAGCTCCTTGAAAGCCCGGATGAGACCATTCCAACTGCGGTACTGTTCTGGGTTTGGCAACTGGGGCTCTTTCACGGTGATCGCTCCACAGAATGTTGCTCCCTTCAGTTCTACGGTGTCTTCCGGTTCGTCGACCAAGGGGCTTGCCGGCCAGCAATGAGGAGGTAAGGACAGAAAGGATGGGCCATTTCTCCATCTTTGTTCATGAGAGAGTTCAGACACGGTCTTACCCCGAGTGATGTCATCAGCAGGGTTGTTGGCTGTGTCAACATAACACCAATTCTCTGAATTGCTCAGGGACTGTATCTCTGCTACTCGTGTCCCGACAAACACCTTGTATCTGCAGGAGTCAGACTTCAGCCAGCGTAGTACTGTAGTGGAATCACTCCACAGGGTAATCTTCTGAATGGAAAGGGTCAACTCCTTTCTGAGCAAATCTGCCAACTGTGCACTGACCAGTGCAGCAGAAAGTTCCAACCTTGGGATGGAAAGTTGCCGCTTGGGAGCTACCCTGGAACGTGAGAGGATTAAACTAGTATGGATGCTTCCTTTGTGACCTTCAGCGCCCAGGTAGGCCACTGAGCCATAGACTCTTTCTGAGGCATCACTGAACATGTGGACTTCTCGGTTGGTCGTCTTGGCTCTATCAGGTCATCCCAGGTTCTCTTTGACTTCCACAGGTCCTGGACGATTACCTTAGCTCTTGCAGTGAATGGTGCAAGGAAACCAATTAGATCATACTGGCTGGCCATGATTTTGTAGACAGTTCTGAGGTTGAGCATTTGGTAAGCAATGGGTCGGTGCTTGTAGCCAAGATCATCTGCATCGCACTGCCACTGCAGTCCAAGTGTGGCCTCGAGTGTGTCACTCTGACCAAAGACATGCCAAAGGTCAAATCCGTCAGATCTGGCAGCAGCTGGCAGATCTGCCACCACTGAGGAGATATTGCTTGCTCATTGGCGAATGTTGAAGCCACCTGTTGCAAGCAGTGTGCGTATCTTCATGACCAGTTCTTTAGCTGCTTTGGCTGATGGCAGACTGTCCAGGCAGTTGTCTACGTAAAAGGATTGTTGGACAGCACATGCGACCTCTTTGTTGCCCGTCTGGTGGTCGAGTACATGCCTTTGCAGGGCAAATGAGGCACAGCAGGGGCTACAGGTTGTGCTGAACGGAAGAACCTGCCACTCATAGACATCAGGCTTAGATGCTCTGTCCATGTTCCGCAACATGAATCTCAAGATGGGCTTGTCAGCTGGTAGGAGACGTATCTGGTGGAACATTGCTTGGATATCCCCAGATATTGCCACGGGGTGCTGCCTAAATCTGAGGACTCCTCCAAGGAGGGATGCTCCATACTTGGGTCTGGGTAGGATATGGTTGTTCAGCACCTGTCCATCATGTTCGAATGAGCAGTTGAACACCAAACGTGGCTTACCGCTGGTTTCAACAATGCGATGTGGAAAGTACCACGACTCCTCAGTCTGCCGGGCTTCTGCATCACTAAGGACTCTCGCATAGCCTGCATCAAGTAGCTTCTGGATTTGCTCTTTGTGGATCCTAGCAAGGTCAGGCTGTTTCTGGAGTTGTCTATCTGTACGATACAGGTTTGGGAAAACTGCTTCTTTGCCAGCATGGAAGTGGGTTCCATCATTCCTGCACAAGAGGGGTGTGGCATAGCGCAGAACTCCTCCTTCGTCAATGCGAACTGTTTTTGCTTCAAGCAGTTCCACAGCATACTGGTCCTGCTTGGAACGGGTTACAATCTTCTCACTAGTGTAAGTGATCACACTGGCCTTCTACAATCTCTCAACTTGCAGCATAAGGTCATGGTTCTCTTGAAAAATGGTAATCTTGAAGCACTTCTGCTCACTGAACAGTTCCTTCAGGGCTCCAGCCGGTTCCTGAAGTGTCCAACCCAATTTGGTGCGTACAGCCATTGGTGCTCCACTGGAGCCGAATTTCACAGGTTGCTGTGGGGTGATTAGGTCAGAGTAGTCCGAGCCAATCAGGATCGAGGGAGTTGCGTTGTTGATCAGAGGCAGTGCAACTCCACGTAAGTGGGGCCAACGCTTCTGAAGAGCTGTAACTGGATAGGTATATTCTGACA